CGATGGAGGGTTGCTCTCCACGCCGCAAGCCCCTGCGACGCGGGGCAGGGGACATAGCGACGCTGCTTTTCTTCTCCAGATGCTGGAGGAGGAACTGGGGAACTCGCTGCCGGTGCAGCGGCGAGGAGGGCGGCACGCCCCCCAGGGCAGCAACAGGATCACCCGCTTCTTCCACCTCCTCTCCTGACACTATGCTGCAGATTACTGGGGAGCAAGAGAGGCAGGCAGCTGCCTGGGGACCAGTCCCACGGCTCTGCTGGGAGATGGGACTGAAGGATCTCAAAGGCAACGTGAGGGGCCTGGGGGATGCTGAGTCCCGGGGCTGAGCGGCCGGGCAGGACGTGGTATGGACGGGGATGGCATGCGTGGGTGTGTTCAAGCCTACCCGCACTGTGCTGGAGGGGCTGGGGTGAAGCAGGTGCTGCCACCCCGAAATCGCCCCAGAAGCCCCTCGGGGAAGTCTCCCCCACTGGTCTCGAAGCTGCAGATACAAGGGGGTTGCTGGCGCTTCCCGTGTGGATCACCCCTCAGCTGAATTGCAACTGAAGGAAATACATCCTTTCTTGAAGAAAGTCCCTGTTCGTGACTATTTTACTTAAAAACTCTCGTCCTGCGCCCCACCAGCACATCCTGTGCCCCCAACCTGCCCCCTCAGGCCAGCTCTCAGGGAGGGGGGTCCCGTGCCCAGCCTCTGCCCCAGGGGTGTCCTCAGGGGCAGAGTTGGCAGCACAGAGCCAGCGCTGGAGCCAGGTCTAGGCTCCACCACCACCCTGCACAGAGCTGTTGTCCTCCCACCTCGTCAGGGCCCTTAGGGCACTAATAAGCCCTAATGGCCTTGACCCACAGCCATGGCCCAGGAGCTCTATTTAAGCTCAGCTCAAGGGCTTCAGTCCCTGCCTCAGCTGTGTTGGGAGCGTTGGTCTCCCTGCTTCATCACCTCAGACCCAATCCTGACCCACAGACCGACTTCCCGGCTTGATCTTGGACCTGCTTCAGCACCATGAACTTGCCTGGTGATCTCAACTCTTGGTTGAACCTGGCCACCATCTCCGGGTTGGTCCTGCTCACATTGTTCAGGTATGGGAGGACTGGGTGCTGGGCTGGTGATGCTCCGGCTATGTGATCCCCCATGGCTCCCGGCTCGACTTTCTTTAGGGAGCAGCCCCGCTCTTGCTGCTCTCCGACACTCATGTGTTATTTTAACCTCTCTCCTGTTTTGGAGACTCCTTCTTCCCCATCTCAAAGGCCCACCTACAAAGTCTGTAGCAATTTATTATCTTTAAGCTCAGTATAAAAGATAAATCATTTCAGGGGATGAGCAGGACTACAGGAGGAACCGGAGACATGAGTAACAGTCCACATACTGGGAATTACAGACAGACAGTGAGGGACACATGGAGGAGCCTTCTGCTAGCAGGCGCTGGCGGTTCACAGTGAGATGGAGGAACTCTGCTACCCAGACCCAGGAAAGAGCTGATGGATCGAAGATGACAAGAGCCAGGCAGGCTGAGCCGCAACAGTCCATCTGTACAGGTCCTATGTTTAGGTAGGACATCCTCGATTTAAAAGTCTTCCTGAGGTGCAGAGACCAGTGGGATTTCTCAGCAACAGTGCTGGGAGGAGAAAAATCTGCCACTGATGAGATAGTCCAGAGCGAGCACCGGTCAGCTGGGAAGCTGAGCTTTGTCCTGTGGGTTAGCCCCGGAGGTCTGCTCCCCACAGGGCTCAGTTGCCTTGTTTCACTAGGACATCAGACAGGTCCTCTGTGCCCTCCAGCTTTAGATTCTGGGAATATAAAAGAAAAGCTAAGTCTGACAAAGCCAGACTCTTCCCCTCTGAGTCTAAAGGCCTGGCATAAAAAAACCACAGGAGGAAAGTTCAGAACAACCCCAGCCCCTTCTGTCACCATCAGTGCACGCAAGACCAAGGCTTCGCATCAGCTGTTGCTTCGGAGTCTGAAACGCTTACAATGCTTAAAACAACACTGAGCAACCAAGTGCTCACCTCTCTGCTGCCAGACCCAAGGACAAAAAAGGACAGACAGCAGTTAGGCTGGAAATGCTTCAAGTGCTTAACCGCAGGCTGTCGTTACCAGCGCATCAGCCTGATTTATGTTCACTATAAGCATGAAACAAGGACTTAAGTTGAGAAGTCCTGATGCAGCAAGAAAACGGCCCTGCTCCCGGTGCTTTTCACTGCGTATTTCACCCGCTGTTCCTACCATGTCTCCTATGTGCACGCTGTGCTTACCTTCTCATTTGCCAAGTGCAAGAGGCAGGCGAAGGCTAAGGGGACAGACAGATTGTTAGCCATCACAGAAGGCAGCCTACAAAAGAGAAGGGAGGAGGTTAGAATGGCCAGAGCCTACTGAAACCCGATGGATGGAGCATGCCTGCAAGGACCAGGTCGCCAAAGATTGGCTCCTCCCCAGGGAGCTGGTTTTCTCTACCTTTCCCCTCCCACCAGCAAAGAATTTGCCAAGCCGAATGCAATCCTAGCTCCCCCAGGCAAACCCAGAGGGCAAGAGAAGAGCTTTTTTTTTTTTCCCCATCAGGGTTCAGTTAGCAGGTTGTAATAGACACAGGGGGGGTCAGCGTTTGCCCAAACTCAGCTGAAGTCTGTCCCCATCTTCAGTCCAACCTTTTTTAGGGCCTCTCTACCTGCGAAGCAGTTCCTTTGTGATGCCGCTGAAGACCTTCTCGCCTGCTACCACTGATGTGTCCTTCTCTTTCTCTGCATCTTCCATCTATTTAGCAAAAAGACAGACACTGCTGAGACAGATTTTGCTCCCCAGTACTTAGCCCTGTGTTCAGAGAAAAACCACTGCAAGTTACACTCAGTCTGTCCTTACCAACCATCCCATGGGAGCAAGACTACTAGAAAGGAATTGCTGCTAAACCTGCCCAAGACTGTCTCTGCAGGAGTTAAGCACAGTTACCTGCAGGGCATTCTCTTATCCTGGGGCCTATTGAGGTATCTGGCTCCCCCTGCACTCACCTCTGCCACTGTTTGTTTCTTCTGTCCATCAGTCAAGAGGTCCCACATGTTTTTCTTCAACCTCTTCATGTCCATTTTCTTGGCTGTCTTTGCATACTGAATCGCTATCTTATTGACCTGATGAAAAGAAGTCTAGGGTTAGCTGAGAGCAACTGAGCAGAAGCTGCAGCACTATCCTCAATCAGGACCACAGGAACAATCAAAACGTGGTTCTCCTTGGGAACAACGGTGAATGCTATCTTACTACTAAACCTTTGATTTTTAATTCCCTTCTCTTACACAAGGGTTCATCTGGGAACAAAGTGTCCAGCAGCAAACCCAGGATCCTGCACCAGGGAAGCTGTCTCAAGACTTCTAACCACCCGAGGTGTTGAGAGGCTTTGCTCCAGACCTGCCCAGTGAGCAGCTCACAGCTCGGCGACAATGCGAGTCCTTACCTTCTGGGGCTCAGCAATGAGGTTCAGCTCTCCGTATGTTGTAATATCGACATTGCCGACAACTCCGTTGAGCTCAGCGTCTTGACCCTCGGGGTGGGCGGTAAGGTTGAACTCTCCCATTTGGCCGATGAATTGAACGGGGTCATTATCATCATCGCTGTCTGCAGCCTGATCAAGAAGAGACAGAGCAGTGAGGCCACCCAGAGACATCTTTGAGGAGCCAGAGATGTCCTGCACTGAGATGACAAGAGCACCTGCCTCTCAGGAGGGTGGCGATACCTGCCCACCTTCCCCATGGAACACGTTCTTATTCAGCCTCTCCCCACGGCGCTTAGGCTGGGCTAAGGCTAAACTCAAGGGAGATCTAGAGCGCAGAGTATCAAAAGACTGTTCCACATGGAAAGATAACAGAGACGAGGGCTCTCCTGGCAGTGTGGGACCAGCCGAGACTTGTCACAAACACACTCAGGAGGCAGTGCCGGCCTGGCAGAAAGCTGAAGCTTTCAAAGAAATCTACTTCAACAGGAGCTTGAAACAGCTGGGAGCAAACCTCACAGTGTAGACATGATTGCAGAGGTGAGCAATGGTATTTACTCCTACTTTAGGGCACAGGCGTATGGAAAAGGCTGGAATGGAGATTCTGCAGCAAATTGACTAGCAAACACCAAAGGCAGAGAGTTTAGTTAATGTCGTTAGAATAAGGGGACAGGGGTGTGCGCAGAGAGTTCTGCAACTTTGTCATAATCTGCAGCTCCAATTATTTTTTGCTAGTAATTCTGGACACAGATTCTTCCTAAATTATTTCCATCACATATCGAATATAGGCAACAGAAAGAAATCTTCTTGTTCCAGTTACCTGCAGTGCAGGGCAGAAATTGGAGGTGTCATTGGGGTTGTTGTAATCGTACTCGCTGATCTTGTGATCCAACGAGCTGTCCGGCTCCGACGTCCTGCAGAGCTACAGAGACAAAACCAGGAGTCAGGAAAGGAAAAACCCTAAATCCTCCCCAAGCAATGCCTGCACCTTGTTCCTTCATCACCTCCCCTTTTCCCAGCCTGCTGGCTCTTCCTCCTCCTCCTCCTCCTCGCATACCAGCTCTCTAGCAAAGCACAACAGCTAAGCACAGCTGCTTCGGCATCCACAAGCGGGTCAGTTCAGTGAGAGACATGCTGGCCCGTCTCCAACCCTGAGGAGCATCCCAAAGCACTTCAAGCATTTGGTGAAGAGTGGTTTTGTGCATGGAATCATTGCCAACAGGCTTTTAGAGAAGACTCTTACCTTAACAGTTGGTTTGAGGAACAGCTGGAGAATGTTGTTAGGGTCGTAGTTGAAGTCTGTGGGAAGCGTGGTGCTCTTCACATTCTGGCTTTCCAGAATGGATCTGGCTAGAGTTACAGATGCCTGGGGAAGGTAATAAATACCGTTATCCACTACTTGGAAGATTAATGCACAAGTAAGTGCTTTGAACAGAGGTCTTCATCTGAAAGGGGGCAAGTTCTGAGATGCCTCCAAAGAGGAGTTCCACACTGGTCCAGTCAGTGCACCCAGTGGCTCCTGCGCAGCATCCTGGGACACACAGCTGGACCTGCAGGCTCTCTTGGACTGACAGGAAGAATCCAGCCCGATTCTCCACCCCAAGGTTGGTAAAACTCTCTACTTGTAACATGACCTGGAGTCAGAAGACCCTGCATCATGGAACATACATGATGTTGGGTTTACAGAGCCAGTTTCAGAGCAGCATGAGATGAGTGG